TGATAGGCGTCTTCAAACTACCATTCATTTAACATGATAGACGTCTTCAAACTACCCTTCATTTAACATGATAGACATCTTCAAACTACCCTTCATTTAACATGATAGACATCTTCAAACTACCCTTCATTTAACATGATAGATGTCTTCAAACTACCCTTCATTTAACATGATAGACATCTTCAAACTACCCTTCATTTAACATGATAGACATCTTCAAACTACCCTTCATTTAACATGATAGACGTCTTCAAACTACCCTTCATTTAACATGATAGACATCTTCAAACTACCCTTCATTTAACGTCATAGACGTCTTCAAACTACCCTTTATTTAACGCGATAGACGTCAGATAATTTATAATTAAGTTAATTTATTAGTTCTAAAGCGTTGTACGTGTTTCCTTATGTAAGAAGTTGAATGTACGATTAATAGTATATCTTGGATTTCTCCCCACCTATGAGCCTTCTGTAATAAAACTACAGAATTTTTATTGATGAAAATAAACATTACTTTGCGACATTTTCAAACAACTTTTTATGTGAAGTTAATAAACTTCATTATACCTTAAAAAGAAACCTCAAAAGCAAAAGATTAAAAACTAGCATGGCCATAGGACTACATCAGGTGCCAGTTAGGTAAATACATCTTTTTGTTGAAACAAAAATTATTTTTCAAAACAAGTTTAAAAATACGAGGCTTGAACAACAGTAGATACAGTAGTAGTTTTAAACATATATATAATGGTCAAAACTGTCTGGTGATTAATATTTTGTATATAAATATAAATAACAATAATTTTCTTTCCAGCAATTAATTATGTATTTAATTAACTAACATCTATTGTAAGCCTATTGGTAAAACTAGTCGTGTTTTTAGAATAGTTTATTAACTTTATGTAAACAGTAGCTAGAAGAGTACTCCATTGTTTAAATGATGTACTGCATGAAATTGATTATAAATCAAATAAATACTAAGTATAATAGTTACTAGATTCATATGTGTTTCATACACCAAGTTCTTTGAAACAAGTTTATAATTGTACATCAAAAAATTATATGAACTATGATTAGTAATGTGGATACACTTGATAAATCTTTACTGTACAAAAACAATCAAGTACTTGGATACTTTAGATCCAATTTTACTGTACAAAGACAATCAAGCACTTGGATACTTTAGATCCAATTTTACTGTACAAAGACAATCAAGCACTTGGATACTTTAGATCCAATTTTACTGTACAAAG